CGTCCCCCCCCCCCCTTGTCCTCCTCTTATCCCCTCAGGAATCACCTCCAGTCTGGTGCCAGACATGGTGTTATGTCCCCAGATGTGTATCTGCAGCCCAGGCTCATATATCTAACTGCCTAGTGACCTGTCACTTCAGTACCTAGTAGACATCTCAGTCTCAACATTCTCACAGCTTAACTCTTCATCTAACTACCCTCCTTCCCATTTATCAGGAAATTCTACCAGATCAACTTTGAAAATACATCCAGAACCCAACTTCTTACCGTTACCCTCGCCTGCTGCCATCCCGGTCTTGGTCACTGCATTTATCAGCTTGAGCTGCTATAACAAAATTGCATAGGTTGGGTGGCTTAAACCATAGGAATTTCTTTTCTCACAGTTTTGGAGGTTGGAAGTCGGAAATCAGGGTGCCAGCATGGTCAGGTTTGGGTGAGGGCCTGCTCCGTGGCTTGCAGACGGCCGCCTTCTCACGGTGCCCTCACGTGGCCGAGAGAGAACCCTGGCGTCTCTTCTTTCCTGAGGACCCAGTCCTGCCTGCTCAGGGCTTCACACTTACGACCTCATTTAACCTTAATCACTTTAAATTTAAAGGCCCTGTTTCCAATACATGGGGGGTTGAGGCCTCATCATATGAATCTGGGGGAGGTGCTTTTTAGTCCATAGCAGTTGCTATCCTCCCTAACCTGGATTACGTTAAAGCTTTCTAACTGGTCACCCAGTTTGTATTCATGCCAACCTACAGTCTATCCTCATCACCACAGTTGAAGTGATCGTTGTAAAATATAAAGTGAACCTTACTATTTCTCTGCTCAAGACTCTCTGCAGGCTCCTGCTTTATCAGAGTAAAAGCCAAGGTTCTACAAACGCCCACAAAGTGCCACATGATCGGGCTACCTGACACCTTGGTAACCTCATCTTTTGCAGCCTCCCGCTTGCTCCCTCCACCCCAGCTACTCTGGTCTTTATGCATTTCTTCAAAGACACCAGGCAGCCTCCTGTCTCAAAGCCTGTGCGTGTGCCCTTCCCTCTCCCTGACACACTCGTCCCTCAGACCTCCACGTGGCTCATTTCCTCACCTCCTTCAATTCCTTGCTCACTGAGGCCTATCTTGACCATTCTGTTTAAAATTACAAACAGCACCCTCCCCGCATCCACTGACGAGCTCCCTTAACTAAGCTCTCCTTTCCCTTGTAGCAGTTATCACCTCCTAACATAATAGATAATTTACTCATTTAGTATTTTATTGTCTATTGTCTGTCTCTTCTCACTAAGTTCCATGAAGGCAGAGATCTTAGTCATTTTCACTGTTGTATCCCAAGGACCCAGAATAGTGCCTGGCACGTAGCAGTGACTCAGTGACTATTTTTTGACAGTTGAATGGATAATTATTGCATTATACT